ATTAATAAGATAATATAACAATAGTAAAATTAAATATCAATAAATAAATAAGCAAACAAACTTGCATAGAATATTTTTAACTAGTGCAAAAGGAAAAAGCATAGGGTCAAGTTGTGAATTGTTTTGATATTATAATATCAACATATTAGACTTGATATTGAAATACCTATTGAAAATTTAAAAAATAAACTAGCTACTAGCTTAAATTAATACCTAATTCTTAAAGATTAGTATTTTGCATTATAAAGTTACTGTGGTTTCTCAATATTCTTGAGCTTATGTGTAACTCACTACTAATAATTTATTTATTTTTTATTTTTTACAAACGTATCCTAGCCGTACCAGTATCCTACTTTTTTAGGTTTTGCTGTATTGCCATATCCGTATCTCGTATCCGTATCCGTGCTTTCTAGATGAACGCAGAGGTCGTCTGAGTTTGTCAGAGATTGATGTACGCAGAGGTGGTGATGAATTTAGTGACGTTGATCCTGGACCGTCGATTTCGGAGTTGGAGTTAGGAAAGAGGAAGTTGATCGTAGAGGATCAGTTGTTTTGGATCCTTCAGAATTTTCTAATGTTTTAAGAAATGTAATAATGAGTGTAAAAAATAATGATAAGACTCAAGATGTAATAGTTGATGATAAGGGAAATGTAGTAAGTAAATAAAAGTTTGAGTGGTTTTATAAATAAAATTAATAAAATTTTTCATTAATCATGACAGTGGTTACATTTACATCAAACCATTCTCTCATTTTGGGGACATTGCATCTAACTAACTACTATCGCCATTAGTTAATATAATATAAGGAATTCCTCCTCTAATAGTGAGATCTGATTGAAATTTAACAAATACATGGTAGTCTCTTTGGCAACCTACTAAATTCTTCATTAATTCGGTAGGGACAGTCAAGTACTTAATGTCGTCTATGACGTTGTAAACGGCGTCTTGATCGTAGAGGATCAGTTGTTAGGGATCCTTCTGATTATGTCACAAAATACCCCCAATTAAAAACATTTTCGGGTGATATTCTCCGCAGTGGATGGAGGTTTCGTTGTTGGGGTCGGTGAGGTCGAATATGAACTAGTTGCAAATGTTGAAGCGTTTTTCGCACTGTATAAGGCAGTGCAGGTGTGGCTCTCCATTTTGGTGGTGTTCTTGTGCTGAAATGGCGTATGTTGGGTTGTATTTTTCTAGGATTGTCCAGAGTGTGTTTATGGCGAATAGGTTGACGATTGGGCAGTGTGGGTGTTGGAAAAATTTGAATTTGAATTTAAATTTACTCAAATGGTTGTGTCTCTTGAGATGGAAGGGTGTGTCCTTTTGAAGGATCATAACCTTTCTGAAGAGTCACATAGAAGTCTATATATTCAATCTCCCTCACTTCATTTTGAATGGTGAATTGTCATTCTTCTTCACTTTGCATTTATTCTTTATTTTTCCTGAGTCTAATTTTCCTATAAAGAGAGTTCATGCACAGCAAAGTTCGCTAGGCTTGCATTAGTAGTGCTGCTAGTGCAAGACATTGATCGTTGTATCCTGGGAGATAGACGTCCATTGAATCCTAAGCACCGGTGAGAGGACGAATCTGTCTTAAGGAGAGAGTATCACACACTCGACTCGATCAGGTTTTATCTATTTATACTTTATCACGTTATTATATCGATTTATTCCAGTTTTGGTTTTGCCCAAAAATCGTTTGCATATTTTTAAATTATATTTTCCCGATAGTTTGATACTATTTTTCTAACAGTGGGTATGTGAGGAAAATTGATTTTCCTTGGATTCGGAAGTTGTTTGTTAAGGTTGAGGGGCGATTTGGTTGAGTTCTTCGGAGTCTGGGGAATGGTGTTCTCATGTTGTGGTTTGGCTTTCAGAGTTCTTACTAGGCGTGCTTGAGCCATGAGCCAATTTATAGTTGTGAGGAATGGCAGGGTTATTCACCACCCCTAACGCGTTGGACGAGAATACCTCTCGTGAGCCAACGGTAGCTGTCTGCGTTTGGCCTTTGGGCCAAAAAAAGGGGGCACGGATGGGACGTAAAGCATGCCCCTTTCGGTAATTAGTCAACAACAAAGAAACTCCAATGGTACAAGTTTAAAGATTAAGCAAAACTACGCCGTTTTAGGATGCATAATTTTTAATAAATAATAAATAAATAATTCGCAATACTTTAATGTCATTTCACTTCACTTCTAAACTTAAACCATCGGATTATTTACTTTGTTCATGTGAATTGCTGTGGTAAAAAGTACAACAAGATCGTTGTAGTAAAAGAATTACAAAGAATCCTTATCGATAAACTTTTTCCTAAAAAATACCCAATAGTACATGCCATTTTACTTCAATCATTGTAGGTAAAGAATTGCATAGAATGCTTATCCCTAAATTTATACCTAAAAAATGCACTATATTTTTTAATATCATTTTACTTCACTTCAAAACTTAAACCATTGGATTGTGTACTTGCTATGGTGAAAAGCAAGATCATTGTAGGAAAAGAATTGCAGAGAATCTTAATCTCTAAATTTTACCCTCAAGCTACTAACAAGTACTTCAAAAATTAGAACCAAAAAATATCCCAGGGGTGGGTGGCAACCTGGTAAGGGCCTGGGGTTTAAGCCCCTAGGTCCTGGGTTCGATTCCCCTCTAGGCCAATCTCCTGGGCGTAGCACAGTTGATTAGGAGGTTGACCTCAGTATGCCTAATCAGCAGCTTGATGTGGGTTTAATGCTCCCCCGCTGTGCGAGTCTTGACTTAAGCGGAGCTTGTCTTGGGAGGTTGGGACAAGCTTCCTGGTTATAGTCTCTTACTCAAAACAGACAACAGGACACCCTGGTGATCTCCTCAAGGGGCGCTGCCTTGGACCTGCGGGAGAGTGGGAGGGGGAGGATTTTCCTATAACAAAAAAAAAATCAAAAAAAAAAACCAAAAAATTCATCAGAGAAACCAATCACACACTCTTGAACCTATTAATCATCAAATCACAAAAGACCACATTTTTTTTAAAAAAAAAAAATCAAAATATATGTTGAGAAGTCGACTCCTCCGTTGTAGTAGTTGTGTCTTCCGAGTGATCTTGCCCATTGTGTTTTGCCAGTTCTTGATGGCCTTCTATAATGATGGAGGTGGGTCTGTCTGGTCTGGATTCTGGTTCTTGAAATCGATTGAGTCAAGAATTGGGTTAAGTTCTCTATTGGCCTCTATAATGTCCTCAAGTTCGTCCTCTGCAACTTCTTTAGACCATTTGAGGCCTTGTAGTGTAATATCTGGGTATAGTAGAGAGATGGATTCGAAGCTTACCATGAATAGGTTTTCGTCTGCCCAGGTTTTCAGTTGTGGTGGTACGTTTAGGAAGTGTGTGTATTTTGGTATGTATATTGGTGGTGGTGGTTCTAGCCATATTGCTCCTGCTGCGTACTCGAGGTTGCGTAGTTGGGTGAAGTAGACGTAAGGTTGTTCTGTTTTGATTCTCTGGAGGAATTCTTGCTGGTTTGTGGATTCTTGCAAGATTTTGGTCCAGATTTGGTCTCTTGTTTTTTTAGGTGAGGTTTGGTTGGCTTTGAATTCGCCTTTTTCGGCGAAGTTGTGTTCTTTGTAGATGTAGTCGTATACGGCTGCGTCTTTTCTGGGTACTTGGATGTTTGGATGGTATTCTCCGCAGCGTATGGATGTTTCGTTGTTAAGGTCGGTGAGGTTGAAAATGAATTGGTTGCGAATGTTGAAGCGTTTTTCGCATTGAATAAGGTTGTGCAGGTGTGGCTCTCCATCTTGGTGATGTTCTTGAGCGGCTATGGCGTATGTTGGGTTGTATTTTTCTAGGATGTTCCAGAGGGTGTTTATGGCGAATAGGTTGATTATTGGGTAGTGGGGGTATGTAAGGAAAACAGATTTTCCTTGTATTATGAAGTTGTTGGGTGTGGAGGATGATGGGCGATTGGTTTGTGTTCTTCAGAGTCTGGCGAATGGAGTTCTCATGTTTGTGTTTGGCTTACAGAGTTCTTACAAGGCTTGCTTGGGCCATGAGCCAATTTATAGTTTAGAGGAATGGCAGGGTTATTCACCACCCCTAATTCGTTGGACGAGAATACCCCTCGTGAGCCAACGGTGGCTGTCTGCGTTTGGCCTTAGGGCCAAAAAAGGGGGGGCATGGATGGACGTAAAGCGTGCCCCTTTCGGTAATTTCGCGGGTGACGATTTTTGCTCGCCAAAGTGAGAAACTTGCCTTTTTTCTTTTAATGCCATCAAATCGGTATTTAAATCTTGTATCTTTATGAGGAAAACTTTGATATTTTCCATGACTAGATGTATTTCGACTGTTTTGCTACATAAGCGATACTATACCTAAGTTAGCCTGATAGTCTCTCATGGACTTTAAAGATATTTGTTGTCTGAATAATTTTGTAAGTTGTAAGCACATGCCATCTAAGATCTTTTACTTAGATTATCAAAAAAATTTACGAAATCTTGGAAAAAGAATTTTTTGATTTAGGCAATGGATAATCTTTTCATGGCAGGCTAGAACTGACTGTAGTATCATAAGAGGTAGGGTACATTCCATTTGTTCAATCATAGCAATTTAGGAATGAATGAATGAATGAATTTCAATTGTATTTGTTACTTGTGCAATTTAAGGAATGACTTATTTTGCCTTTTTCAACTGTATATTGAATTTCAATTCTGAGAATGAAATTGCTACCTTTTCCCCCTTGATTCATTATCATTTCTTGTCGACTATGTCATTTAATGTCACTTCTCAAAAGTTGCAGATTATCTTGTTGTAGTAAGCATACCTGTTGTTATTGTTTTTATCATTATCTTTGTCTTAATTCACTTATTTGGTGGGGATTGTTTATAAAAGATGCAGATTATTTAATAATAGTGTTTCTTATTATAAACTATTATTTCAATTATCATCTTTATCTTTGTTACTCATCCCCAAAAAAAAAGAAAAAAGATCATTATCTTTGGTGTTAAATTTTTGTTTCTATCATTATCTCTGTCATAATTCACTTCAATGTTGCAGTTTTTTTACGGATATGGATATCATGGAACGTCATTTGAGCAAACATATCTATGTTACCCTGCATCTTTTATTGATAAGGTTGGAAGGCTTTCTTTATAATGTATCAGTTCAGTTTTGTTAGCAATTTGCTACAATAGTATCGAGATAAAAATTAAAAAAAAAAAAAAAAACCCTTTGTTTTTCCCCATTAATTCCACACACACACAAACAAAAATACAAGAAAATAAGAAAAAAAAATGCCTACAAAATATAGAAAATCTAAAGTAAGAAAGGAAAACAGTGTAAAAGGGGGGGAAAAAAAACTCTACTATAGTTGTCTCTAATTTCCTTGTTTCTTTTCAATCCTGCAGCCACAGACTGAAAATGGTGATAAAAGTAAGTTATCAAACTCTTACCAGTTTAAACAAATGTGTGTCTTTGCAGCCTTGTAAATGTCTTAATTTTCTTTTGTTTCACTTTATGTTGTTTCAGTTATAATGCCTCCCTCAGCCCTGGACCGCCTTGGTTAGTTGATTTATTTGAAATATTCTCTGATGGCTTACTATCCACTATTGTTAATTAAATTTTCCCCCAAGTTATCATTTAAAATGCTAATATGCTAATATTAAGACTTAATCCTGCAGCATCTCTTCATATTGATTATCCTATGTTGTTTGAACTTCACAATGCTGCTACCGAGCGCATGTCTCATTGTGGGGTTCTGGAGTTCATTGCAGAAGAAGGCATGATATACATGCCTTACTGGGTAGGCATCCTATAGTATTTTTTATATGAGCTTCGTAATTTTGGTGTGATTTTGTTGGCCAATATAACCGTAAAGGAGACTCTTTAGGTATTTATTTTCCTATTATATACACTGAATTGCTTCATTGTAGATGATAGAGAACCTGCTGTTACAAGAAGGAGACATAGTGCGAGTTGTTAGGGAAAATCGATGTGATTCCCCACAAGTAAATCAATCAATGGGAATAAAAACTAATGCGGAACAATTAAATCAAAGGCAACACAAGAATTTTTACGTGGTTCCCTCAATGTAAGGTATGTCCACGGGATCGAAATCCGATTCCACTATCAACCAAATAAGTTCCAAACGATTACAAACGAGACACTAATGGTCTCACAAAATCACCCATAGGTGTATTCCAAATAATCACAAATAAACAAGAGGAAAGACCTCACCAAATAGATGAATCAAAATCTTCAGAATCAGAGTTAAAGAAGACCCAAAAAAAACGAACCCAAATCAACTTCACCAAAACACCTAGCCGAAGATGCACCGAAACCCTCCCACCGAATTGATTGATTTCAAATTGTTCTGTATTAGCCGCAGCACCTCTTCAAAAAGAACTAAACAATATATATATTATATATGAAATTGATAGGCAAGCATTCTTTTCCCCAGGAATTCACTGCTGCCGCTGCGTGCTTCGGAAAAAGTGAAGGACAAACAATATATATATTAGTTATAATATATATGTTGTGAATCTTGGGTTTTTGTAATTAAACTCTAATTGTATTCAAATTGAATTGGGCCTCCACAAAATTAGATATAATATATAAAAATATATTATACCTAAACCAAACCAAATTAAAACTCTTTTAATAAATCAATTGGGTCCCACACTCCAATAAGGAGGGAAAAATGTGACTCTCCCAAAAGGGACATATATTAAACTGCAACCCCATACAAAAGACTTCTTGGATATTTCCAATCCTAAGGCCATGTGAGTTCATGATCCTTATGTTTAGGTTTTAGTTTTGGAGGTAGAATGATATTCTGTAACCTTGGCAATGTATGATGATTTTTCTACATGTTAGCAGTTTTTCATGTCATGATATTCCACTTCTGTTTTCAATTACAGCCTGCTGACTTCTGCTGCCATTATTTCATTTTAATTTATTTTTGAAAGTTACTGTTAGCCTTAGAGGGAAGGCAAGGAAGTGTGTAGTTCAGGATGGAAAGGCTGATTGTCCTCTTTATCGTAATGTTTCTTCGTGGTGGGTAGTTTAAGTACCCTGCACCCGGGGAAAATTGACCATTTAATTTCTGTCTTGACCAACAAGAGAACACAACCCTACTTAGTATTTTTTACTTCACTATTGTATTGTTTGTCAGCATGGCTAAAGTTGATGCTTGACAGCGAGCCTCTTGCTCTATGGAAGCATGAATGTAGAGTGAATCCTTTGCATTTGGAGAAGAACTTGCAGTGATGAAAAATGGTTGTTAAGTGGGAATACAACAGTAAAGGATTATTAATTTTCAGTGTTACTTAGGAAGGGAAGTAAAGACATTGAACGAGAATCAGTCTTTCCACAAAAAAGGTGGGAATGAGGTTGCCTACCTACTACATCTCCCAAATTTTGTTGTAAACGGGAACCTTGTGCATTGGTTGCGACTCCTTTTTTCAAAAAACGAAAGCATGTTTAGAATATGATTACCAATGAGTTTGGGCTCAATCACTTGAACATATAATGTCCACTAATCAGTTTTGTTCTATTCGCAAATTATCTGGTTTCCTCATTTAATAAGCATTGGTAGTTGTTTTGTAATATTTATGAGTTCTTTGTTTTCAACATTTTTTAATTCATCTTGAGTTGATTCTAACTCTTGATCATTATACCAACATAGAATCAATCCGTTTATTAATTTGTTACTTCACCATATCCTATAGAAAAATGTTTGAAACCTCTAAAAAAAACTCCCTCAATTTGTCCTCCAGTGATGTGACATGGTGGGTGTCAAGTTTTGATTTGTTACACAAACATATAAGGCCCAACTCCCTTGCCATATCATTGTGGGTGGATTTGTGGGTCTAAAATTGTGGGTCTTTAGCATTTCTATTAGAGTTGGCATGCTGAATAGGGTCGTATCCACAATTAATTCTCATAATTTTAGTTGCTGATGAGTATTATCAAATCAGTATGATAAAATACATCATAATTCATTACTATTTGTAGCAACAATACGAGAATTAAAAAATGACTAGTCGGTTAGCAAGTTAGTTTAGAAGTAATGAATGATTTTTGAATTGTGAACATGCTAATCAACAAGATTACTCTGTTTTTTTAACTTGTGGAAAACAACTTTGGGCCAAAATGAGAAGGAGGAAATTTTCTTCAGAAGTTGATTTCTTCTTAGACCAAATAAATAGAAAATCTAAGGGTTCGTTGGGTTTAATTTTAGAATTATAATTTAAGTGTAGAGTTATGTTTTGAGTTTTGAGTTTTGAGTTTTTAAATCATGATTTGAAAAGAAAAAATTTGTTTGGTTATGAGTTTTGAAAATAGTTTTGGGATGATTTGTATTTTTTTTATTTTTTGATTGATTGTATAGAATGTGAGAGGAGAGAGGTGAGAGAAAAAGTGATTAATTAATAATAATAATAAAGCAAAGAAAAGAGAGGAGTTTTGAAAGTAATTTTGAGTTGTATTTTAAAAATATATTTGGTTAACATGTAGTGGCGGAGTCAGAAAATTAATTTAGAGGGGACACTTACTAATTATAGTAATTTTTACAAAAATATTTCTCGTAAATTTTTTACGATTGATTTCAAGAAACATAAAAAATATATATATTATTTGTAGCTAGTGTATCATGGACAATAAAAAAAAAATATGGATATAAGCCTTAAAATAAATTATATAATGATAAATTATTTTTTGATACAAAATTTGATTAAAAATTCAATATAATGGTAATATCACGTTATCATTGGTATGTAACATCACCCACTAATGGTAAATAAACGCATAAAAAGTGAACCTCACATGTTAAATGTAACTAACAATCTAATAAATTCCATATCTTTATAGTGAGATTACTTATACTTCCATATCACTAATAATGACATCGTTGTTACATTCAAAAAATTTCATAGCTAATATGGTTTATTTATAATAGTCTTTTCATTTTCAATCAAAACAATCATTATTGTTTTCATAATTTTTAAAATGTCATTGACATTTCACTCTAATAATATTTTTGTAATTTTTTATTTAAATTTTTTTTTATGTTTGCAACAAAAAAAAAAAACAAAACAAAAAAAATCCCAAAATCCAGGGGGCACATGACCCCCCTGGTCACATGCTCCCTCCACCACTGTTAACATGTTGCATTCAAATCATGATTTAAAAACAAAGTTGAGTTTTGAAAATAAAACCAAACGCTACCTAAAATTCCTAGAAAATTTATTTTCCAGAAATTCAACTCAATAATGGAGACTTAAAAAGGGTGGATACCTACAGCTGGTGGTAGCCTGGTGATTATGTTCCTTATGAAATTTCAAAGACATTTTGAAGTTGCATGAGGGGTTTAGAAACTCTATTTTGTTTTATGGTCTGGTCAGGTGTTCCCTGTTCTCTTAAAAGATCTGATTTACGAACAAGATGTTCCATTTTTTATGTCATTTCTTGTGGCTGGATCTCCTAATTTGGATAATTTGTTCTCTCATGCAGCTTGGAGACGACTCTGAGGAACTTTTCTTGCTTAACCACAGGAGATAGTATTATGGTGGCATACAATAATAAAAAATATTGCATAGATATTATTGAAACAAAACCGTCTAATGCAATAAGTATCATTGAGACAGACTGTGAGGTGGACTTTGCGCCTCCCCTTGATTACAAGGAACCTGAAAAACCTGTTGTGACTGTTCCTTCAGGCAAGGCACCAGCAGGAGGCACAAATGCTTTGCCTTATTTCACATGTTACGTTTATTTAAGTTTTTTCCCCCATTATGGACATGCTTATATTATTTTTCTTCTTTGTGGCGTTCACTTGTGACAAATTTGTGAGGTTTAAATTCCAACAAATACTCTTCATACATAGAGGTATGAATCTCCTTAATTTGACTAATGAAATGGCCTTTGCTAAAGTCGAGTGGAGAAGAAGAATTTATGTAGCCAACTCCATTTGATGAGACTTAAGGCTTGGTTTAGTTTGGTTTGGTTACTCTTCATACATGATTAATGTTTTTTTATTTGTTGCTTTTTAATCAAGATATCATGCCTCTTAAGGATCCTTATTGGCCCTTCTTGCATTTTCAGTACTCCTTCCAATTTTTGAGCTGTACATATTTTTTTTTATCTAAATCATGTGGTGCTTGTACTTTTGCAGCTGTCCTCATGATTTTTGATGTTTTGTGTGGAAAACACAATATGAGCTAGCTAATTCTGCATTTCTTGGCAATGGGAGGTTCAAATGATTTAATGGAAGTTATTGAAGATGATTGCTTTATATTTGTTTCACCTCTAGCATTTCAGTCTTCCAATTTGGACGCTCCAATTTGTGCTCTCTGCTTAGATCTGTTCAATTATAAAGTTTGACCACTTATTGATTCTTCTGCTATGATAAATATCAAGTTAAGAAATGGCACAGTTCAATAGATTATTTAAGTTTACTCATAGATGAATTCTTATTAGATTGGGAAGATGAAATGATTATCATATCCCTCTTCATGCATGCTTTTGCATAATTCCGATCATGGCTCCTGTATTGGGAATGTTAGGGGACGGCATATATTGTCGTAAGAGTGTCTGGATCTGTTTTGCATCCTTGTACTTTCCTGGAGTGGAGTGTGAGAATGGATTAGCCCTCAACATAAGGTGTCTGAGGATCCAAATTACTTTGGAGATAAGGATTTATTGGTTGGATGAAGATACCTGATATTTGGTTTACTCCTGCACATCTACTTTGAAACCAAAGATCGACACTTCAATCACAGATTCTACTAGCAATTTCTTTCTTTGTTTTAATATATATATTTTTTACCCTTTTTTAAGCAAATCAACTGCCTATGCTCATGCAGGTGAAGAGGTTCCAGCTGAGACTGAACCAAAGTTCAACCCATTTACTGGAGCAGGGAGACGCTTAGATGGGAAACCCTTGAAGTACGAGCCTCCACCTGTGTCTTCTTCTTCTGGGTCCAAAGATAAGCGACCTGATGTTGCCAGTGGTGGTGGGCAGCCTTCTACCGGGTCTAGTTCAGAAGGTACTGTTGGACAATCTTCACTGTATTTAAAAGATTTAATTCTATTGTGTACACAACAACAAATAGAATTTAAAGAAATAAAGAACAGGAGAGAATTTGTTTGATTACAAAAATCAAACTCAAAATAAAAATAAATAAATAAAACCACAGATTTTATTTTGTTACAAAAACAAAATTAAAATCTGATTAAATAAACAAATAAAAACAGAATTAAATTAAACAACTTACTTGGTTAATTTATATGAATAATTTTTCTGATCAAGTCCAGTGTTTGACACTGTGTCCTTAAGACAGATTCGTCCTCTCCACGGTGCTTTCAGAATACGGACGTCTATCTCCCAGGATGAAATGATCTACCACAAACAATAGCAGCACTACTAACTGTTTGCCTTACGAACACACTAAGTGTTTACATTCTTTCTTTAGAAAATAAAATGCAGCAAGATGAAG